AGCCAAATAGTTAATTTTTAATATATCATAAAGCCTTATATTATAATATAAGGAAAATACCGTACTATATTACTTCAAAGTCCTATTTTTAACATTCTGTAATTTTCATCTTCAACTGATTTTCTTATAGGAAAATATTCCCAAAAATAGAGTACAAGCTATTTGGGATGAAACCTGATGAGCCGTATGCAGTTATGTTACGAATTGAACGAGTTGACGAGTTGAGGTAAGGGATCTCCTCTTTCTATCTAGTACTCCTTATGATGATTAGTTATCTTGATAATCCTAATCATTTTCAGATACAAGTTCAGTGCAGGAGAATGGTCTACAAATGGCAAAGGTGAGCTACAAACTCCATCACGTAGCATTCCTCATCATGATGGAGCTGTCGACACTGGAAGGGCATGGATGAGCAAAACCGTATCTTTCGATCGAGTCAAAGTCACTAATAATCAATTAGACAATGATCCTTTTCATGTAAGTTCCATCAATTTTTGAACCTTCATCATCCAGGGTTCTACAGCACACTTATGCCAAAGTTAGGACACGCGTTCGCGCTCCTAATCCTAGTCTCTTTGTTAATATTTTGACTAATCCTGACAAATCCATCACGAATGTTTGCCTTTACTCATTAATGAGGCGATGAGCACATTCCCATCGTGTTATTCTTGGTTCATTGATTTGCCTTCGGCATAATAGCCGATTAGCCGTTAAGCATGCCATTGGCGATATTCACAGTGGTTTGCTTGCTCTTTACAGTACTCACGGTCATTCAGAGGTCTTAAAACAAGGTCAACCTCTCAGCTGTTTTGTTGCTTAGTATCTGTAGGTGGCTGCTATGGTTGAGCTTTAGAAAAACAGAGTATAAGCTTAATATCGTAGATATTATAAGTTCTGAAATATCTGGGAGACATTATAAGTTCTGAAATTTCTGGGAGACATATTAAAAGGCTTAAAAGTTTAATTTTAAAATTTTAAAATATTCACCAATCTTTTAGTCAACCATATAGTTTTGATTCAACTAAAATCATTACGTTAACCTTCAGAACTTGTCTAAAAAAAGAA